AATGGTTGAGCTTGGAGAGGATACAATTGGTACAACTTCTGCTGCTTAATGGGGGAGTGGCAGAAAGAAGTAACAAAAACTCACATAACTTGCATCCCGTTTGGTGGGGATCACATGGAAACTGGAGTCAGCTAGAAGATAACACCAAAAAAAAAAAAAAAAAAAAAATCAAATAGTTTGTTTGGGCCTACTAAGCCCAGGCATTACTATTTCCATTCAATAATGAAGTGGCCAGTGAGTGTGTGTTATAACATACTATGGTAGCATTAGCTCCATCCAGTATGTGGTACTGTGTTCTGGTAGCAGTACGGACCATTTCCCTTCTGCCAAAATAAAAAAAAGAATTGGACTGAGTGCTTCTCTGCCGTCCATGTCGTATCAATGAATGCAAGATTTCTTCTGATGCCATGACATGCGCACACAAATTTAAAGTTTGGCATGTTGGGCATCTATTTACTCGGTGCAACCTTGTCTTTTTATATATTACCACAATTGGGTAATTTATTGCGTTTATTTGTGCTAAAATTCACTTTAGTGTGTTTTTTTTTTTTAACTGAAATTTTGCATTTCTTGTACCTTTTTTTTGTAATATTGTGTGACGTAAAAAAAATTTGAACTTACAACCATTTTATTCTCTGGGGTGTCTGCTTTCAGGAAATCTTTAATGTTTGAGAGTTTTGTGTCGTCTTCAGGCCTAAAATGATTTTTGAAATGTGCAAAAATGGCTCTGACAGTGAAAGGGTTAAAGGCCCATGCACACCTTTTATGTATGTGAGAAAGGGAGTTCCTACTTGAAATACAGGCACATGCAGTAAATATATGCCTTACTACAGGATGGATGTGTGACTTAAATCAATAATATTTTGGTATGCCACTTGCTGAATTTGGTCAAGACTGCGTTCCCAGTATGAGATGTATTGAAAATATTTTCAATAAAATAAATTATTGCTTTTTAAAAGTCTTGTTTCTGTTTTAGAAATGAAAGTGCACCTCTGGGCCACTGCAAATATTGTTTGTTTTTTTACAATAACATGTTATACTAACCTGCTCTGCTTTTGGATAGAGCAGCATCTAATCCTCCACTTCTCGGGTCCCCTGCCAGCACTCCTGCCCCCCCCCCCCCCAACCAAGTTCCCCCTTTAAAGTGTTACTAAACCCACAACAATAAAATCAGTCTGTGTATACAAACGTAGAGCTATTGCTATAGCCAAGCTTCCCTTCAATGTTAACGTATTTTTATTATTTTATTAATAACTGTTGAGGACTACTTAGCAACTAAACACTTTAGTTAGGAATATGAAACACAGTGTTACTAAACCCACAGCAGTAAAATCTGTCTGCATATGCAGTAAAGCATGATTGTTCTCACTGTGGAACCTAAGGGGTTAATCCTCTGGAAAAAGGCTGTTTGATCCTGTTTTCTCTGCCCCATCTCTTGTTCAAAATGTCCACCTAATAAGACAGACTGAACCGTAGCCATTATGCACACGCTCAGTTTAGTGTGTGTATAGCTAGAGGGGTTTTTTTTTTTTCTTGGGAGAATGCATGTGATCAGCACAGGGCAAATCAGCACTGTCCAGACAGAGGTCGGGGGTTTTCCATCCTCCTAGAGCAGAAAGAAAAACTCCTACAAGCTTTAACCAGTGTTCTGCTGAAGTCACAAGACTGCTCTAATTGCTGATGAGAAAAGGTGTTTAGCAGTTTATATTTACTAAAATAATTGCACTTCCATATTCTGTGTACTGTGGGAGACCGGATATAGTGAATGCAGGGTCCTGGGTTTACAAACACTAACACAAACTGCTTGCTAGTGGGGCACTCGTGTGTCCATTGACACAGAAAGCGTGGCTCAGCCCACCTCCTTCTGCACTCAGGTTTTTTTGTTTTTTTTATACCATAATGCATTAAGGTAAAAAAAAAAAAAAGCCTTCAGCCTTTACATAGTTATTCTGGCTGAAAAAAGGCAAAAGTCCATCCAGTTCAACCATGGAAAATAAAAGTTATAATCCTATACCCACAGTTGATCCAGAGGAAGGCAAAAAAACCCAGCAAAGCATGATCCAATTTGTTCCTGCAGGGAAAAAATTCCTTCCTGATCCCCCGAGAGGCAATTATATATTCCCTGGATCAACTTTACCTGTAAATGTTAGATACACAGAATATAAGTTGGTTACTAAGAAAGAATCCAGGCCTTTTTAAAAGCAATCCACTGAGCTGGCCAGAACAACCAACTCTTGAGGGAGTCTATTCCACATCTCTCACTGTGAAGAAACCATTTCCTCCAGATGAGGAAACATTTTAAGCTGTTTTATTGACACTGACCACAGGTAAACGGTGCAGCAGGATGCTGATGGACTCGGTGCCAGAACAACACGGGGGGGGGGGGGGGGGGGGGGGACTATTGTAAAGTGCTGTGTGAAAGTTTCCTTATCCTATAAGTTAAAATGATACTGTTTCCATTATACTGCAAGGAATAGGGGACATTACTTACACTTTCACTACATGTGTCCCCTTGTGCAGTAACCTCGTATAGCAGACATCTTCATCCTCCAATTCCCCCTTCCATAAACTGCACCAAAAGATCTTGGAAGAAGTTTCCTAAAACATTTAAAAAGCACTATTGTCTGCAACTTTAGGGAGCCCACGTCTAATTCCACACCTCACTTAGCCTGTTACACAATGCCATTCCATTATGATACTGCATATAAGTCAACTCACACAAATGGCAGTGTGAGTCTGTTGGCACCTACTGTTCTTATGTATTGGGGTTCCATTCTAAATGAATAGCAAAGTACCACAATGTGCTGCGTGCCACTGTTGCAGTAAAACCCATTACGGTAATACATATGTCTGAAGGGGCCTAAAGAATAACTAGACTTTCATATAACCTAATTATGATGACCTCCTCTGACTAGATCAGTGGACAGTGTGGTCCAGTGGCCTACACCATACAGGGTGGTGCTCACTCAGGTTTACGAGTAGATAGCTTTTGCATTCAGGTCTAAAAAAGAACTCCGTACCCCTGACATTGCATTTTCCTACCACTGTGGCCAAATACCCAGATGCTGCACTTGTCAGTCAGTCCGTCCCTCCACCCAAACCCTCCCAGCACCCCCTGACACTGCCCTAATATCCAGATCCTGCACTTGTCTGTCAGTACTCTCCCCCCCAAAACCTCCCAGCACCCCAATATCCAGATCCTGCACGTCAGTCATTCAGTACCCCCCCAAACACTGTGCCCCAATATCCAGATCCTGCACTTGTCAGTCCCCCCCCCCCCCAAACACTGTGCCCCAATATCCCGATCCTGCACTTGTCAGTCCTTCCCCCCCCCCCCCCCCCCCAAACCCTCCCAGCACCCCCTGACACTGCCCCAATATCCAGACACTGCACTTTTCTGTCAGCCTCTTGTCACCTTTGCAGGACTATGTAGTGAGAAGAAAAGGATAAGTGCCTCTGCTTATATCCTCTTTTGGTGAAATCACCACCTCAGTGCAGCCTGTAGAGGCCAAACAGACCTCCAACCTCTGGGGGCACTGTGTACATTGTGAGTGGTCCTGGGGGAAGGGAAGGAGGTGCACACTTCCAGGCCAAGGAGAAGAGGGAAACCAAACACAAAGATGTTTAAAAAAAAAAAAAAAATGAAATGGCCCACTCCATCGATTAAGGGCTCTTTCGCATTGATCCGTTTTTTCAGAAAAAAAAAAAAAAAAAAAGAGGAAAAATGCTAATCACATGGCAGCAATGTGATGCATTTAGGCAACTAGACGTCGTGAAAAATGACTTTCTGAAGTTCAAATCGAGCATCAAAATGGGGAAGAAAGGGGATTTAAGTGACTTTGAACGTGGCATGGTTGTTTGTGCCAGACAGGTTGGTCTGAGTATTTCAAAAACTGCTGATCTACTGGGATTTTCACGCACAACCGTCTCTATAGTTTACAGCAGGGGTGTCAAACTGGTGGCCCTCCAGCTGTTACAAAACAAGTCCCATCATGCCTTTGGGAGTCATGCTTGTAAATTTGCAGTGCCTCATGGGACTCGTAGTTTGGCAACAGCTGGAGGCCACCAGTTTGACACCCATGGTTTACAGAGAATGGTCAAAAAAAAAAAAAGGAAAATATCCAGTGAGCGGTAGTTGTGTGGATGAATATGCCTTGTTGATATCAGAGGAGAATGGGCCGACTGGTTGCTGCGACATTCGGATGGTAGGGTCAGAATTTGGCGTAAACAACATGAAAGCATGGATCCATCCTGCCTTGTATCAACGGTTCAGGCTGGTGGTATAATGGTGTGGGGGATATTTTCTTGGCACTAGTAAGGTGTACCTAATAAAGTGGCCAGTGAGTGTATATACACATTCATACACTGGTTTTGCCCTTCATTTCTACTTTAAAGTGAATGGGTTGTTTTGCAAGGTGAAGGTCCACATATACTTTAGTGCAAGCATTTATCAAATTCCTAGGTACATGTTGGAGAACAAGACTCTTGCACAAGAGTGCCTTCATATAATCAATTTATCATTTTCAAAGGCAATATTTAATACAAATGATTTCTGTCTTACATTTCATTTAAACCTGCCACATCAAGTTTACCACTGGAGGTGTCGTATACACGTTAATGGAAAACCACCCACAAATGGTGTAAAAGTGTCCTATGGAAAATGACTGTTTATTGGAATAAATATGATCCCTGTGAGGTTTGACTAGGGAGGAATGTGACACATGAAATGACAGCCACTGCTGAAATGGATCAGCCTTCAATGAACAAACAAGATAATATCACACACAGGAGAGATCTGCGGGATGGGGAAAGTCTCTGTCCTACAGAAGCCAATATGGTTATGTTGTGTCACCAACACACTAAATCACTGGATTGGGTAACACCACCTTAGACCACCTGTCAGTCTACAATGCATGCTGGGAGTTGGTCTTCTACAGGTTGCCTAAGCTTGGCGTAGAGTCTTTTCGAGTCAGGGTCCTGACAGGAGACAGATCAGACTACTATAAATCATCATCAAAGGAGGCAGTGGGGTGGATGAGGAGGTACCACTTCAACCTGTCTGGAAGAGGAAGAGCCTTCACCTTTACATCTACAGGCCACGGCCTGAGCCTCTGGCGAATGAAGACCCTGCACAAGTGCTTTAGGGAAGGAGGCGACTGCTCCAGCTGTTTCAGGGACTGATATAGGACAGTCACTCTATCCGTGTGTATGCCGCAGCTCGCTAGGTTTACTTCAAAGTTCCTGGGCAGGAGGGAGATGTGAGGAGACTGGGCTATCATGAGGTCCAACACACTTTCTGCTTTGTTCAGCAGTTCCAGAGAGTCACGGTCCTCACAGTTGCCCAGGTAAGAGCACAGCCTGTCGAACATGATGTGGAAGCCGGACCAGCAGGAAGGGCCGTGCTGAGAGCAGTTGTAGGAGGCACCGGACTCCAGCAGAAAGCGCAATAGAGGGAAGTGGAGCTTGAAGTTCTTTAGGCACGTGTGGGTGAGGGACTCGTGAGATGGACACTCGCTAGGGTCAGCCCCGTGGGCCATTAGGAGCCGGCTGACCCGGAAGCAGAAGTGATTGATCAGCTTGGCCTCTTCTACGTCAGATCCTACTGTCTCGCCTAACAGAAAGATGATGCTGGAGAATACCGTGTCACAGTCCTTCGTGGTGGCCTTGACATCAGCACCTGCAAAGGGAAAAACAATGGATTGGTACACCTATAATTTCATTTTATTCATTGGCATTGAACTAAAAAATTTGCAGTGTTTCACAAAGCAGTTAGACCCATTCATATCATCCTCTGCCTCCGAAGGAGCTTGGCAGCTACCAATCCTGTAATCCCAAGAAGTCTATCAGTATCAGAAACATTCAACTAGTAGCCTTCTGTAAATAGTCTATGTACAGAACAACCTCCAGAAATCTCATATATGGGTCATGTGACCAGCTCATTCCTTCAACATGAAGTCTGCACAGATCTTGAATTGCAGTTACAGCCATCCCCTGCAACAGAGTGTGTGTGTGTGTGTGTGTGCACCTGAAGAGAGATTTTTTTTTTCCCCTTTCAACAAATTTGGAATTTCACTTTAAAATGAGAAGCTTTTCTTTAACAAGCTAATATGCAGTGACAACTGTCAGTCTGTGTGTCTGTCCCCATCTTACATAATGCTGACCGACAGTATGGTTATCGTAGGTGAAAAGCATGAATAGATGCTATTGTACTAATGGAACACAGTGTTCTCCTGGTTCAGGTCTGCTCATTAGATTTCCGTGTAAAGATTCCTAATACTAGCATGTTCTCTCTGGGATCTCATTGCCACTAAGCAACCACCAAAACCATGGCAAACTTCCCTAGTGATAGGCCACCTACCTCCTTCCAGCAGCAGCCTGATATTTTCAGTGTTGTGGATCTGAACTCCATCACTGCTGGCCAGGGCATGTAGCAGTGCAGTTTTACCTGGAAAAAGCAAAGAAACAAACATGGAGACCGAAAAGAAAGGAAACATACAATAGTAACATTTAAAGGCCTTCAAATGAATAAAACAACCACAAATCAGCATAAAAAAGGGCCAAATGCTAACAAACCTGCTTAGTTGCTGAAAGTAAAAGCACTTACTCATCCTTTGCTCAATTACCAAAAGGTAATAAAGAGCCCATGCTTTAGTTTCTCTTCCAGTTGCAGATCAGAAACTATTCAGTACAAGGAAAGCAGTGGGTGCAATTGTTCTCCTTTCTGGTTCATGAGGTTGGGGAGTCTAAGACGGGTTGATTTACTAAAACTGGAGAGTGCAAAATTTGGTGCAGCTCTGCATAGAAACCAATCATCTTCCAGGTTTTTATTTTTTCAAAGCTTAACTTAGAAGCTGATTGGCTCCCATGCACAGCTGCACCAGATTTTCCACTCTCCAGTTTTGGTAAGTCAAAATGAAAACTTTTTGGCTCAGTTTTAGATTTAGTGGGGAAGGATTGAACAATTTTTAGGTTGTTATTGCCATCTATGTACCAGCTTTGATACCCTTTTTATTTGTACTGGGGACCACTGTCAACGGGACACAGTGGGGGTACACTCACCCCTGGTGTAGCCAGCTGGGGAAGGGGATGGTATGAGAGTGCTGAACTTTTAACCATTCCCTACACTGTCCAAAAAAAAAAAAAAAAAGTTGCAAACAGTTGACAACATCAAAGATCCTAAAACTAGCCTGTGGACTATAACAGGGCTTGAAAAATCCGCTCGCCAAATGCGAGGAGAAATTCCTCTGTGGCGAGCAGCAAGCACTGATGAAGCATGGAGCGACTGCACCTGCGCTCCAAGCCTCTTTGTGAAGCCGAGTTCTGGTTTACAACTTCTGGTTTCCGGCTTCTGCGGCACCGCCACTGAGGGGACAAGTGCAGGAGAGGTCCGCTCTCCTCCGCTGAGAGGAGACACTCTCTCCACCGCCGCGGGGGACTCGGGGGGACTAGGAGTAAGTACTGTATACAACATGTCATATCACTATAATGGAGTACAGGGGAGCTGGGATATACAGTGGGGCAACAAAGTATTTAGTCAGCCACCAATTGTGCAAGTTCTCCCACTTAAAAAGATGAGAGAGGCCTGTAATTGGCATCATAGGTAGACCTCAACTATGAGAGACAAAATGAGAAAAACAAATCCAGACAATCGCATTGGCTGATTTGGAAAGAATTTATTTGCAAATTATGGTGAAAATAAGTATTTGGTCAATATCAAAAGTTCATCTCAATACTTTGTTATATATCCTTTGTTGGCAATGACAGAGGTCAAACGTTTCCTGTAAGTCTTCACAAGGTTGGCACACACTGTTGCTGGTATGTTGGCCCATTCCTCCATGCAGATCTCCTCTAGAGCAGTGATGTTTTGTGGCTGTCGCTGGGCAACATGGACTTTCAAGGTTTTCTATGGGGTTGAGATCTGGAGACTGGCTAGGCCACTCCAGGACCTTGAAATGCTTCTTGCGAAGCCACTCCTTCGTTGCCCGGGCGGTATGTTTGGGATCATTGTCATGTTGGAAGACCAGCCACGTTTCATCTTCAATGCCCTTGCTGATGGAAGGAGGTTTGCACTCAAAATTTCACGATACATGGCCCCATTCATTCTGTCCTGTACATGGATCAGTCGTCCTGGTCCCTTTGCGGAGAAACAGCCCCAAAGCATGATGTTGCCACCCCCATGCTTCACAGTAAGTATGGTGTTCTTTGGATGCAACTCAGCATTCTCTCTCCTCCAAACACGACGAGTTGTGTTTCTACCAAACAGTTCTATTTTGGTTTCATCTGACCATATGACATTCTCCCAATCCTCTTCTGGATCATCCAAATGCTCTCTAGCAAACTTCAGATGGGCCTGGACATGTACTGGCTTAAGCAGGGGGACACGTCTGGCACTGCAGGATCTGAGTCCCTGGCGGCGTAGTGTGTTACTGATGGTAGCCTTTGTTACGTTGGTCCCAGCTCTCTGCAGGTCATTCACTAGGTCCCCCCGTGTGGTCCTGGGATTTTTGCTCACCGTTCTTGTGATCATTTTGACCCCACGGGGTGGGATCTTGTGTGGAGCCCCAGATCGAGGGAGATTATCAGTGGTCTTGTATGTCTTCCATTTTCTAATTATTGCTCCCACAGTTGATTTGTTCACACCAAGCTGCTTGACTATTGCAGATTCAGTCTTCCCAGCCTGGTGCAGGTCTCCAATTTTGTTTCTGGTGTCCTTCGACAGCTCTATGGTCTTCACCATAGTGGAGTTTGGAGTGTGACTGTTTGAGGTTGTGGACAGGTGTATTTTATACTGATAAAAAGTTCAAACAGGTGCCATTGATACAGGTAATGAGTGCAGGACAGAGGAGCCTCTTAAAGAAGAAGGAACAGGTCTGTGAGCCAGAAATCTTGCTTGTTTGTAGGTGACCAAATACTTATTTTCCACCATAATTTGCAAATAAATTCTTTCCAAATCAGCCAATGTGATTGTCTGGATTTTTTTTCTCATTTTGCCTCTCATAGTTGAGGTCTACCTATGATGCCAATTACAGGCAACTCATCTTTTTAAGTGGGAGAACTTGCACAATTGGTGGTGACTAAATACTTTTTTGCCCCACTGTACATTACTGTATACACGTCATATCACTATAATGGAGTACAGGGGAGCTGGGATATACATTACTGTGTACAGTTTTATATTTTGGACTCTTTATTCTAAAGAAAAATGTAATTTCATAAGCTTTAAGGTGGCGTGGTTGGGGGCGGGCCTGGGCAAGGTTGGGTGGGGCAACTAGCGAAGAGTAAGGTTGGGTGGGGCAACTAGTAAGAGTAGGTCTGAGCTCGAAATTTTAACCCCTGGACTGTAAAATAGGGATGTAAAAAATATGAAGTATAACTACAGGCAAACTTGTTTTTTTGTTTTTAGTTTTGGATAGAGTGGAGAGGGATTAGAACCCCCATCAGGATTTTATTGGTGTCTGTACCCCCTTTAGTGAGGTTCACCCTCTCTATTAATCCTGTTATCAACAAATCTGAAAGTAAAATAAAATCCCAAATTTTGGGTTGTCCCCTGAACAGGAACAGTGGGGATGTCTTCCAATGGGGGCACTAGTTCTGGTGAGAACCCAGGATTCCCCTCACTTTAGAGGGATTTTCTCTCACTTAGTAGTTTGGCTATGGGACAGGAAGTGAAGAAAAATCTCCACAATGGGACACAGATGGCAAAAAAAAAATCTTCCAGGGGTTATAACCCTCCCTTACTCTATCCAAAATGAAAAAAAAAAAAAAGCTTTGCCATTAAGGGCTTTTTCACACTTGACTTCTTCCCAAACGCCCCTATAGCGGTTGACAGGCATTTGGGAAGCATTTTTAACGCTCCTCAAATGCCCTATGCACAGTTTTGAGGCGTTTCATAGGCGTTTTCCAAGCGTTAAAACCGCACCACAAACGCCTATAATGAAGTTAATGGTATTAACGCACTGCAAATGTCTGCCAGGCATTTGAGGAGCATCACCATAGACTTGAATGGGAGGTGTTGAAAAGCTTCAACTCCTCCTGACTTGACATGAGGCGTCAATTTTGCCACGACACTAACGCTTCAGTGTGAACAGCAGTGTGTGCTGCCATGTGTATAATTTTCATAGGCGTTTGAGTAGAGTTAAAAATGCCCCTAAAACGCCTGCAAAACGCTTGCTTACACAGCTAGTGTGAACTGAGATGAATTCTACTTTAAGGGCCTCTCTGCCTACTCCATCATAAAAGCAAATCCCTGTTGGCTTTCACAACATGCTCATAAATGGTGAATAACCTGAATGTTATTAGAACTGTATTTGTTAACGACAACTGCTACCTACATCATTTACTATGTAGCAAGACTGTGTTGGGCCCCATAGAAGTTGCATAGTTTGCTCTGGATATATGCATGCCCTTGACCAGGCAAGCGTGGACGTTTAGTTTTTTTCCAATGCAGCCTGAGAGATCCAAATCCTACAGTTCTCTGTTCTGCAGCTCCCAAACACAGGCCACAAATATAGTTCTGGCCCTCCCCTCAAACCTCCTGATATGCCAGTGCAGCCATCCATCACATTTAGCAGTGAAGGTTAGGGTAGGTAAAGGAGGGGTTTTCTCATGAGTTTTGGAAGCTGCTTTGGATTTAGAAACTGAAACTGCATACTACAGAATCCAGTTAGAGAGCTTTAAAGTCACACCAAAAAATTTTTTATTTGTTCTATGTGTAAAATATTTAATTTTCAGTCAATTCTATCTCAGGAAGGCAGCAGTGTCACTTACTGACCATTTTTGTCAGCCGCATTCACATCGGCGCCGAGGTCCAGTAGTCTCTGAAGGCACGGCAGTCTTTCTGGCTCCTCGCTCGCCAAATCCAGAGGACTACTCTCATGAATCTGAAACCAAAGAATATTCAAGATGGTCATGTGTCTGCTTCCTAGATAGCTCTTCCCTTCCATTCCTTTACAGATGTAAGCACTGACGTGTGTGTTAAGACCTGTGCAACCACTGCGTCTCTCAACATGTCATCCATTTTGACAGGCTGGCTGCAAGCAACACCTGTCATTCCCCAGGCACATAAATGCCCTATGCACGGAGGTACAGGTTTATGCTGCTGTGTAAAAGAAACCTTACTTACAACATAGCCAGGTAAAAGGTTATATCTCACCCGATCCCTTTTGTTAATATCCGCTCCATTCTGCACCAGTAGTTCCACCATATCAGGCTGGTTTCTCAGAACTGCGATGTGTAGAGCCGTGTAATACGTCACTGGATCTGGGAGGAGCATAACAGTAAGAAAGATTAAAACTTTATGGGACCATTCACCCTGTACAAGAGCTGATTTAGCCCGGAATAAGAAAACAACTGCTGCAAAAAGTGACTGCAGAGCTCAATCTCTATCTTCACAGAACTGAGATTGAGCTCTGCAGTCACTTTTGCAGCAGTTGTTTTTTTATTCTAGGTCACAATCCTGCGCAATGTCCTTTTTGTCTCTTTCGGTCAGTTGACCATGACCAAGCTTATGCTTTATCAGACAACTGTTTCCCAAAACTGTATATACCTCATAACTTTTGATACTGTACTTTGCGACGCGGAAAATAAAATAGGCAGCTTCAGTCACAGAGGCACCAGCTAAGCGGGCACTAACAACTTGTAGTGGTGCACCGAAATGAAAATTTTGGTGCCGAAACCAAAAATTCAGGATGCACTTGGCTGAAAACTGAAACCGAAATGGACAGTTTGTCTATAATTTTCAAATGCAATTTTTTCAGAAAAAAATACACTTTAATGTTACATCACTTTCGCTTTCAAAACGAAACATGTCGTCACTTTTACACCTGCAAATCATGTAGTGTTTCCATGTTTTTGTCTAACCCCTGTACAATGCAGCCATGTTATCCTCTGTAGGCAAGGCTGTAATTAGAAACTTTCAGTTTTCCTTTCTGCTGCTATCCTCTGAAAGCTGTACCAGGATCCTAATATATTCTGTCAGTGAAAATTTCCTCTGTAGACATCAATAACTCAAAGCCCATACATCAATCCAATTGCAAAGTTACATTTCTGACCACTTTAGTATGGGTGTGGGGATCTGGTACTAGAGGCACAGTATTAGCAATAGGCAAGAAAGAACAGCATTCCATAACTGCCTACCAATGTTTTATTGGGACTTCATTAAAACATCATACTAATAGTACAATACAGGATGTCAGCCATGTGTAAGGAAATACTTTCACAAATATATCTGCGATTGGTACGATGTACTTTTTTATGGGTCAACATCTAATGTTCTTTATGGCCCTATTTTTGGACCTCAAAAGTCAAGATTTCTGGGCTTATCCCAGTTCAGAGTGATCTGTGCAATTGGGATCCATTACCTGTTTTCACAAAGTATATGAACGAAGAAATGAAAATTTTCTTTGCTGAGTAAAACATGTTACAGGTACGAGTGAACTTGTATGGTATCGGATGGAACAGTACATTTTTTCCTTTTAAACAGCGGCTTTGATCCCATCGTGTGGCTTCCTCCCACTACCTGAATGTGCAGCAGATAATGGACCGCTTATGGCATATCTGTAGTGGAGCATTGGATTATTTGATATGTGGGGGCAGATGTACAGATTGGGGGGAGACCCTAAACTTTATTATACAGGATTTATATAGCGCCAACAGTTTGTTCAGCGCTTTACAAAAGACCGGGACATAATACAGTTCAATACAAGAGGGATAGGAGGGCCCTGCTCCTTGAAGCTTAAAATCTAGGAGGGAGGGGCTAGTGGTACAAAAGGTAGTAACTGTGGGGGATGGACTGGTAGGAAGAGTAGAAGATTTTATTATTATCTCAGGGCAGGATAGGCTTCTCTGAAGAGATCGCCTAAAAATGAGCAGAGTAGGCGATAGTCTGATAAATTGGGGTAGAGAGTTCCAGATGGGGGAAGCTCTGGAAAAGTCCTGAAGACGAACATGGGAGGAGGAGACAAGGGAGCTAGAGAGTAGGAGGCCGTGCGAGGAGCGGAGAGTAGGGTTTGGGTGATATTTAGAGACAAGATCGTTGATGTAATTTGGGGCAGTTATAAATGGCTTTATACATTATTGTTAATGTTCTTTTATTTTTAAAGGCCAAGAAGAATGCTTTACCATCTTGCTTTAGTATGACTTGAATATGTTTCTATTTGTCCTGCACACATGCCTTCAGCGGGGTGTGAATACTTACCCTCAAAGCTGAGATCAGCCCCGTACTGCAGGAGGATTTCAGCAGCGGGGACCAGTCCCAGTTCAGCCACCTTCAGGAGAGAGTAGCTTATCCCATCCTTGTAATAGGCCGAGTCAGAGTGCCTCTCCAGCAGTTCATTCAAAGCCAGAAACTTGTCATTGTGTCCGACCAGGTAACTAAGGACAAGCAGAACACAAAAATGTGATGTACAAAAAGCTGTCTACATTTCATGCCAAACATCTTTTTCAGGGACTTCATACTAGCATGGTAGATAACAATTTCAAGAAGACCTTCACTAGTTGCCTGCTTTTTCTCTGCCCATTACCCCTTACCTGTTATGTGAGGTTCTTCTCAAAAAACATACCTGCCTGGCAGATCCAGCATTGTGCTGCAGTGAGCCACTGTTCAGGTGTGACAGCCTGTGTCCTGTCCCGCCATCATGGTCCTCCTCAGCTATCTGTCTCTTCCAGGTTCAGACAGCCGGCCCTGATAATGTTTCTAGTCATTTTAAAGTGGAAGTAAAACTCCCACTGGACACTTGTACCTACAGGTGAGCTGACCTGTAGGTACAAGGAATATCTCCTAAACACGCACCGTTTAGGAGATTTTCAGTGTCCCTGCAGCCGATGACGTCACCGGCACATGCATTTTGAATAAATGGCATACCTGTGTCGTTTTTTTCAGAGCTGTGTGCCACGGCCGAGACATCACGTCATCATCAGACAGAACCCATGCACCCGGAAGGAAGACCGGGTGAAGATTGAAGCCCCGGGGAGCCATGACAGAGCTCCACTGGAGGACTTCAATTTGAAGTCTTTCATAATGTGCTAGTAATGCAATGCATACTAGCACATTATGACATTATTTTGCAGAGGAAATTTTTTTTTTTTTACTATTTCTTTAAGATCTGATTTAAAATAGAGAGTAGATACCGCTATTCACAGGACACAGCACTGTTTGTTCCACAATGCACCTGCATTTTACATATTACTTATAAAATACACAATGCAACGTGGAGCCTGCAGTGTCCATCGGAGTGTTCTCTGCACAATCCCTGCGACTGAAGGAAAGCCTGGTCTCCTCTGAAGTCATGTGTTCATTTTTTCTTCTCCTGTCACTTTTCCCTCCATTTATTAACCACTTACTACCAACTCCCTTTAAGAGATTCTTTATGTCAGAGGACAGTAGGCAGGCTACTGATCATGTGATTTCTGTGACTGGCAGTCACATGTGGAGAAGACTGTCTTACCAGCTCCTGATTGTAATGGTAATTGGGAGCCGTAGGTGACAGCTCAGTCACAGTGCTGGGGGACCTGAGTGAGCTAGCACAGAACAGCGGCAAGACTGGACACATATCTGTGGCAGCTTGGTGTTAAATCCCACCATTGTTCCCCTCATTGGAATATTGGAAATCTCTAGTAAACTCAGTAACTCCTATATATATATATATAAATAATATCACCCCCGAGGCTGTCCCAAGAAATGTCATAAAATTTGGGATATATGGCTTGACTCTTCTACTGCTACTGGATATGTCTGTAAGAGATCTTCCCAGCTTTAGTTATGTCCAGCTTCCCTGATGGCCTGAAACCCCCTAGCACTGAGCTTTGCTTGTACCCGCCAAGTTACTTTCAAATCTACTGGTATTATATCCACTAACTATATCCTATCCACCCTTTGGAAATACTTCAGTAATAATAATAATTTTATAATATCCAGACTTCAGGTTTTATGAGGGATGCTAATTCTCCTGTGATATTACCCTTCTTGGTTGACTCTGAGCAAGTTGTCAACCGCTGGCAAGTGCTAGACTTTATAGTTTTGTTATGTTTGTTCCTATGTTTTGTACATTCTGTATAATTTGAGTGGGGAGAATGCTCATAAGGTTCTGTTTTCTAACACCCTTTGCTAAACTTAACTGCTTTCCCGCGGCAGGGGCGTGCAAAAGAACGTGTGTATATATATATATATATATGCGATTTTGCATGTCCGAGTAGGGGGCCCGTGTGCCCTACCCATGCCTCCACTCCTCACCTGTCGATTGCTTTGTATCACCGACAGGGGAGAGACCAGTATGTAAACAATAAAGATCTCTCCCCTGTCAGCTCCTGCACACTGCTGTGTATGGCTCTGCATAGCAGAGCCATACAAAGCAGTGTGCTTACAGCATAAAGCGCACACACACAGCACACAGTTAACCCTTTGATCGCCCCAGATGTTAACCCATTCCTGCCCAGTGTCATTAGTACAGTGTCAGTGCTTTTTTTTAGTACTGATCACTGTATTTGTGTCACTGAGGATGTTCAGTGACAGTCAGTTCCCCCCAGTGTCAGAATGCCCGCCACAGTCCCACTATAAGTCGCTTATCGCCGCCACTACTAGTATATATAAAATCCAAAAAAAAAATCCGTGTGTGTGTAGCCATTTGTAGATACAATAACTTTCATGTAAACCAATTAATTTACACGTATTGGGATTTTTTTTTTTTTTACTTATAGCGCAAAAAATAAACATTGAGGCGATCAAGTACCACCGAAAGAAAGCTCTATTTGTGGAAGAAAAATGACAAATTTAATTTATGTACAGTGTTGCATGACCGCAAAATCACACAGTTAACAGATTTTTTTTTTTCCAAATACATAAATGCGATTGGGAATGAATAAATAACTGAAGTAAAGAATGCTTAGACGTTTGTCATGAGTTCTGCTTTATTATCGCATTATGCTGTGTAGCACTTCCCCCTGGCAGTACTAAAGTCGTTGGTTCAAATCCCAACCATGGCACCACCTGTCCGGAATTTGCATGTTCTCCCAGTGCCTGTGTGGGTTTCCTCCGGGTACTCTGGTTTCCTCCCACACGACAAAGACATGCTGGTAGGTTAATTGGATCCTGTCTAAATTGGCCCTAGTATGTGTATGTATGAATGTGAATTTGGGACCTTAGATTGTACGCCCCTTGAGGGTTAGGGACCGATTGTGAATGTACAATATATATATAAAGCGCTGCGTAAATTGACAGTGCTATATAAGTACCTGTAATAAAATAATAATAATAATACCTGGCAGCGTCTGGTGCCTCTTCTGCCTGTTCTGAGTCCTGTATGCCCACTGCACCAAGGAGCTCATCTACCAATGGCTGGTACTCAAAATATAATCCTCCGGAAGCCGTGGAGGAAAGGCATGCTGGGAGCGTCGTGTTTTCACTCTGTCCAAAGCAGAATAAAAATTGGCGATTATAAACAAAGACCAGTAGTGTCCACCTTCAATGTAAAGAGAGGACAGGTTTAAGACAGGCTTTAAAGATGATTACCTTGTTTCAGAAATAAGTATGTGGACAGTATCTTTGTGACACATACATTCAACCAAAAAAACTATTATAAAATGTATACTGTGTGTGCAACAACATAGCGACCTTGATGAATGGGTTTTGGTGTTTAGTTCCACTTTCCCTTGGGTGAATAGGAACAAGCTAGGTGAATGAATACATGGACATGGGGGGAAATCGATCAGCCAATGACACAAACTGGAACCACAATATGTGAGCTCATCATTACAAGGTAAGGCAAATGACACTGGGAATACAACTTCACTAATACCTAGTTAAAGCGATTGTTATTTTTAAAAATTAAAAGATGAGTATTTACAAACATGTTATACTTACCTGCTCTGTGCAATGGTTGTGTACAAAGCAACCCGATCCTCCTCTCCTTGGGTCCTCTGTTGATGCTTCTGGCTCCCCCCCCCCCCCATTGCCTCCATAGCAACCCATTTGCTCTGGGGGGGGGGGGCACTCATGCATAATCACTCCTGAGCCGGCTCTCAGTATCTATAATAAACACAGAACAAGGCTTGGCCCTGTCCCGCCCGCCCATCCTCAAGTACTGTGATTGACAGCAGTGGGAACCAATGGCTCTTGCGTCTGTCAATGAGGAGAGGAAAACCTAGGTGAGCTTCTGCTCTTGTGCACATTACTGGATTGAGATCCGTTCAAAGTGCTGAATTTATAAAGCTTGTCTGAGAGTTCAGAAAAAAAAGGGGGCTGAGAGCTGAAATCACACAGTGAAGAGAGCTCTGTGAGCTGACTGGAAGGAAGAGGCACACCCCCCTCCAAACAGCTCACAGGAACAGAGCTGAGGCTGTCAATCTGCTAGAGGTCCCTCCCCTGTCACCATTTTTCTCTTGGTGCCAGAAAAACTTGTCAAAAGTGATTCCTCCAGATAGCAGAGGAAGGAGGCAGCAGACAGAAATGACACTCAGTGCTCTGGACTGAGACATGCACACACTATAGAGGGATATACTTTGTTCATATCTCATGTCTGAGGTTTCCAACCACCTTAATGGAAAAAGAAAATCCCTTCAGCCTTTACAACCTTGTAAAAACAACACAAACATGGGAAAGCTGCATGGACACAGCTGCTGATATGCCATGTGGGTGCGGGTCCCTGAATGCATACAAAGTGCATTTGGGGACCCGCATTATTATTATACAGGATTTATATAGCGCCGACAGTTTGCACAGCACTTTGCAATATAACAGGAGACATTACAGATACAATACAATTTGGTATAAGAGGAATCAGAGGGACCTGCTCGTTAGAGCTTACAATCTAGGAGGAAGGGTTGAGTGACACATTAGGTCACAGCCCCTGTGTCCATGCAGCCACTTGTCCCAATCGAAATTAATGGGAAAACACAGACCCGCACAGGGGCCGCAGTAAGCTCCCTGTGTGAACGGACCTTTAGGGCTCATTTACAGCCTGCCACCCTTCTGAAGTGTGATCAGCAGTGGATCACTTTTCAGGAGTGTCTGCCTGGTGGCCAGGGGGTGATAGGTCACCTGTTTTAACCCTCAAAAGCCTGTACAACTGTGTGCATTGCCTGGCATGGCCACAATGTCTGCTGTACACACATATATATATATATATATATATATACTCCAGAGTGACCAGGATAGCTGCGATCAGGGTGATTAGAAGGGATCTGTAGTATCCAGGAAGGGGTGTTGATGGCTCAGTGACCATAAATGAGGATCCCAGCACAGGACACCCTGGGGATCCCCACTGATGACGTCACCCAGGACTCCCCCTCTGTAATCAGGATGTGACAGCCGAAGCCCTCCAGGACATAGCCCCCATCACACCCCATAGCACAACCCCTCTCACCTGCAGCCCAGGGGCTCCTACAACCGGAACCGGAAGTCGGATGGGGGACCTAGGCAGAGGGCGTAGCTGGGTTATCAGCAGCATGAGTGACTTGGCTGAAAGGCAATGCGCACAATGCTCAGCAGATGGCAGCAGACTGATTCAGGCCGTACACGTTGTGGGGAGGAGTGCGATCATCGGCAGAGTACAGCAGAGGGCAGTAGACAGCTCTGGCACACATACATAGCTATCTGCGATATACACGTCGGGCGGCAGGTGGCAGTAGAGAGAGCGCTCTGTATGCAGTACACAAGCGAGAAAGCCGCGATAACTGCAATATAGACTTACGGCCACGAGATGGCAGTGGAGAGCCATCAGCTGTAAGAATGACACATCCGGGAATGTACAGACGCCTGCAATATACACTGCAGCCAGCAGATGGCAATAGAGAGATTGACAACTGAATGCAGAGCACGGACAGGAGCGAATAGATCATGGTGATACATACTGCAACCAGCAGATGGCAGTAGAAATCAATGTACAGACCCCCAGCACTCAGCATTGGTGTATGAGAAGGCAGATCAGCCTCTCAGCCTGGAGACACACAACTCCAACATCATAGTCAATACATTCTACAACATGCCATGTAAAGACTTGTGGGAGGTAATATTTTATTTAGGGACAGTGATGGTCAATACAGTCTGAGATCTTACTCTTTAATTGCTTGTGTAGATCTTTACTAATTAGAGCCCCATATCCACTATGTACTGAATGTATGCACTATGTACTGTGTATATCCACTATGTACATGTTCTCCCTGTGTCTGCGTGGGTTTCCTCTGGGTACTCCGGTTTCCTCCCACACACTCCAAAGACATGCTGGTAGGTTAATTGGATCCTGTCTAAAATTGGCCCTTGTATATGAATGTGAGTTATGGACCTTAGATTGTATGCCCCTTGATTGTTAGGAACTGATGTGAATGTACAATATATAAATGTAAAGCGCTGCGTAAATTGACGGCGCTATATAAGTACCTGAAATAAATTTATTTATTACCCTCAGTATGGTATAACCCTCAAGGGGTGTACAATCTAAGGTCCCTAACTCACAGTCATACATACAATGCTAGGGCCAATTTAGACAGGAGCCAATTCACCTACCAGCATGTCTTTGGAGTGATGTGAGGAAACCGGAGTACCCGGCTAAAAACCCATACAGACACAGGGAGAACATGCAAACTCCAGGCAGGTGGTGCCGTGGTTGGGATTCGAACCAGCAGCCCTAGTACTGCCAGGCAGAAGTGCTAACCATTTAGACACTGTGCTGTCCATAAATAATATATATCCACTATGTACTGAATGTAACCACTATGTACTGTATATATCCACTATGTACTGTATATAAGTATGTATCCATGTATGTATATATCCACTATGTACTGTATATAAGTATGTATCCACTATGTACTGTATATAAGTATGTATCCACTGTATGTATATATCCACTATGTACTGTATATAAGTATGTATCCACTGTACTGTATGTATCCACTATGTACTGTATATGTAATCCACTGTACTGTATGTCCACTATGTACTGTATATATCCACTATGTACTGTATATATGTTTGTATCCTGTATGTAATTTTGGTCCTTAATTAGTGGGGTATTAATAGTGAGAGCACCAACAGTGTCTATTGTGTTGTGCACTAATGTGCTGCTGTGGTGTTGTGTCTTTTGTCCACAAGATGGCGTCTGTTGAGGAACTGAGCATGTAGGGGGGGGGGGCATTTTAATGGATATCTCTATATATAGAGGTGAAACAAACGATAGGTGCCATTTTGCAACCATGTGCAGCTGAGCACAACGTCCAGCCACTATGTGACCTATTTTATTCTTTATACGACTGATGAAGCTCTGTATTTTGGAGCGAAACATGTACAGTGTTTTCTTTTTTTTTTCTTTGGGAGCACTTTTTTATTGCACATGGTATTCAGCTGAGCGTCACCTCATTCACTAAGCTATTAGGAAAATTCCCATGCTTAGGTTGTAACCTCTAACGAGCAGGATCCTCTGAATCCTCCTATATTTGTACTGTAATTGTATTGTCTGCCCTTATGTTGTAAAGTGCTGCGGAAACTGTTGGCGCTATATAAATCCTGTATAATAATAATGCTAGGGCAGCTTCCCTTCCAAAATAAACAGTCTATTTTGGAACAATTAATCAATTAAGACAGCGCTCCTCAATCATGATATACCTCTTGGTGTGTGAGAAAATTACATCTATATTGGTGCAATTGAAGGAAAAAATATTAATTAAAATAAATACAATGGTGAACTGAATATTAACATGCAAAAGAATGTGACTAAAAAAACTATGTGAATACACAAATCAATCAATGCCCAAAGAAAATGTCCATAAAAATATGTAGTGAAATCATAAATATACAGGTGAAACTTGAAAAATTAGAATATCGTGCAAAAGTTCATTTATTTCAGTAATGCAACTTAAAAGGTGAAACTAATATATGAGATAGACTCATTACATGCAAAGCAAGATAGTTCAAGCCGTGATTTGTCATCATTGTGATGATTATGGTTTACAGCTCATGAAAACCCCAAATCCACAATCTCAGAAAATTAGAATATTGCATGCAATCAATAAAACAAGGATTGTACATAGAACAATATCGGACCTCTGAAAAGTATAAGCATGCATATGTACTCAGTACCTGGTTTGGGCCCCTTTTTGCAGTAATTACTGTCTCAATGCAGCATAGCATGGAAGTTAATAGCCTGTGGCACTGCTGTGGTGTTATGGAAGACCAGGATGCTTCAATAGCGGCCTTCACCTCTTCTGCATTGTTCGGTCTCATGTCTCTCATCTTTCTCTTGGCAATGCCCTATAGATTCTCTATGGGGTCCAGGTCAGGTGAGTTTGCTGGCCAATCAAGCACAGTAATCCCACGGTCATTGAACCAGGTTTCGGTGCTTTTGGCAGTGTGGGCAGGTGCCAAGTCCTGCTGGAAAATGAAGTCAG